TCAGATGGCTTGATAAATGTTCAATCCTCTCAGTAACACTGTGCAAACTGAGCCTTACTTAAGCTAAAAATTGGGTGCTTACCTGACCTTATGCTATATTTTACTAGGGTTTGCTTGCATAGTTGATTTTGTATCTACACTAAACCATGGTTTGTTGTGATATGTGAACCTAGCTACCCTCTTCTTGCCTCAAATACTAAATGGAAATTTAATGGGTTTTCACAGTTGAAAGGACATCCAGACATAAGAACATATTTGCTGCAGTACATCTCACTAAAAAGTAGTAGAAAATATAGAATATGGCATGGCTACTAATGCCTTATGACACAGTCCTAATATTCAGTAGACTTATAGGATCATTAGAGCAAGAGAATTATAATATCTTAGAAACCAAGGTGAGGCTGCCATCTTGGTGCCAATTTTCCTCAGCATGATAGAATTAGGATGCTGGGAGAATGAGGGCTCACCCCACCCCATAATTATCCTATTCTCTGAAAAGTAATTTTTCAGTTGAGATTAGGAAGTCACAAACTCAATGGTAGATCCATGGGCTCTCTCATGCTTGTAGCTGTTGTGTTTTTGAGGAATGGGGACACTTTCAAAATGAAGCCATATAACTAATTAAATCTACATCACTCAGCAGATTCTAGCACACTTTTGAATATTTCAATAATTTTATTTACCAGAGTGCACTAATATCAAAATCTATTTAAAATAAATATGAGAGTCACATGAGAAAATTCTGAGCAGATTCTGCCACTAATAAGTGAACTGTAACACACCGTATGTACAAAAGATTTAGTGAAAATGAATATTTTTGAATAAAACTTGGTAATTAATAGGATGGGGAAAATACCATAGGAAACAGATTATTTATTTGTTTGTTTGTAAAATTCATTGACCGCCCACCTTACCATAAGGTAACTCTGGGTGGCTTACAGATATAAAAGTACATTTACATTAAAACAAGAATAAATTAAAATCAAGATTTAAATCAAAGATATGTGGGGGAGGGGTGGAATGGAGGGAGGGGGGATCAACTGTTACTCAATCAACCATCTTCCCTGTGCTGTTCCCTCCATTGGGGCCCCAGGCCAAGTGGCAGAGCCAGGTCCCTAGGCCCTTACGAAAGGATTGGAGTGCTGGGGCCTACGATAGCCCCCAGCAATCGCACTTAGACTTATATACCGCTTCACAGTGCTTTACAGCCCTCTCTAAGTGGTTTACAGAGTCAGCCTATCGCCCTCCAACAATCTGGGTTCTTATTTTACCAACCTCAGAAGGATGGAAGGCTGAATTAACTGAGCCAGTGAGAATTGAACTGTTGACAGTGGGAGGAGGAGTTTGCATGCAATACTGCATTCTAACCACTGCACCACCACGGCTCTTCTGGTAACTTCGTAAGAGTTTGTTGTAAGAGTTATATAACCCAAATCCAGTACCCATACAATTTTGTTTCTTGGAAACTGGAATTGTTTCTTGGGGACTCTATTTTCAGAGTTGCCTGTCACTTATATCTCTTTATAGACTGCATGCACCATAACTGTAATCTCACTAATGCTACCCTGTTTCTTAGACAAGAAAAGAATCAATAAAAAGCAAGGCTTTGATGTGATTAACCAATCTCTGGTGGGGGAAAAAAAATCACATTTCCCCGTTGGAATTCCCTTACAAACTTCACAAGCGCTTTGTGTCTATTGTCTCTCCGCCCCTTCCACCCTCACTGCCATTTTGCTCTCAATCAAGGGAATTCTATTCAAGGCTGGGGAACATCCAAGTGTGGACCTCTTTGGTACCCACCAGGCTTCCTTCCCTCTTGACATTAGTTTAATTTTAGATCCTTTTAAGAAAAATATTAAATGGGTTATCTGGCATGCCACAAAGCGAAGTACCAATTGCAAATATTGGCTTTGTGTAAAAGAATGTCTCTGGGCCCCACAAAGGTGTTCTTAGGAAGTAGAAATGGTAACTGGGTGCATCCTAGGGCTTTTATCTTGTTACTATGCCAGGTGTCCAGGAAAACACCCAGAACCAAGATCAGATCAAACATGATCGGAGGATGGCTAAAAGGATTAACGGAGAGCGATGTCAATCAACTTGTCTTCAGATAAACGGCTGTCTGCAACTGGCCAGACTAATCAGCCTAAGCATTTTCTGAACTGGCAAGCTTTCCCATGGAAACCATTTTAGAATAATGGCTACAATGTGCTCAAAACGCCAAATCAGCTTACAACTGTCAAAAGGTTTCCTCCTCCTAGAAGAACACAAAAACTAAAAGATGTGACCCACAAGAAACGGAGACACAAGAGAAAAGAAATATGCGAAAGAGAAAAGGAATACTGAAGAGGCTTAATAACGCCTTGTTTAACTAAAAACCAGGGAAATGCAACCAGCTTTTTAATTAGCTTTTTTCATGCCCTGGTGTTTGGTGCAAGAGGAATCCTACTTTTCTGTTAGGCATTAGCATGGTTGCAGGTAGCAAAAAATATACTTGGTTTTGCGAAGGGAACACAACCTTTTTTTTTTTCCTCCAAAAAATAGAGGTTATTGTGAGTTAAAATGCAAATAGAAACAAAATCTAAGAAAACTGAAAAGAAAAAAGGTGCAAGAGAAGATAAAGAGGAAAGAAAGAATAAAAGTACAAGTAGCCCTAGTCTTACAACCACAATGGAACCCAATTGCCTCATTTGCTGAGACAGCTGTTAAGTGAGTTTTGCTCCATTTTGTGACCTTTCTTCCCACGGTTGTTATGTGAATCAATGCAGTTGTTAAATTGGTAACAAGAGTTGTCAAGTGAATCTGGCTTCTCCACTGTCAGAAGGCCACAAAAGGTGAGCACATCGCCCCAGGGTACTGCAACTGTCATAAATATGAGTCACTTGCCAAGCATCTGAATTTTGATGATATGACCATGCGGATGCTGCAACGGTCATGTGAAAAGCAGTTGCAGGTCACTTTTTTCAGTGCTATTGTAACTTTGAATGGTTACTAAACAAATGGTTGTAATTTGAGGACTGCCTGTTGTGACTTATCACTTTTTCAAGTGCAGAAGAATACAAAAATGGAATCTAACATTCTTGAAACAAAATCCAAATCTAAGATACCTCACTACTCATCAAGGTGGTCCCCTATTTACATTATGTGCTAACCAGGACTGATGATTGGTTTTCTAGATCAGTCAAATCTAACTACAGTCTGCTTAAGCTCTATTGTAATATGCTTAGTCTTATCATCTAGCCAGATAGCAACATTTACTCAATCTTGATTTTCTTGCAAAAAACCCTAAACAAGGATAAGCATGAATAATAAATAGAGATATAATTTTGCTGGCCATCTCCATTCTAGACTGGGAAATCGAACTAAAATTCTTGTAAGAAGGCACTAGCAAACCATTTTTTATATTGTTAAGAAAACTGCACTGATGCATTTCATGGGTTCAAGTTCAATTTGAAAGAAATTGTATTTTTAATCTCCTATCATTAACTCGTTTCCTCCTGTTTTTCTCTCTAGCCCAATATTTGGTTTGTTCCAATTTGTATTTTATTAAGGCAGAATTAAATGGAAAGCTACAAAAATGTAAATTTGCATTACCCTCACAGATTTCCTAATGGAAAGAGCCACATATCAAATGAAGAAAGCTGGCTGGGCATGTATGTTGGCTGCAATTATATTACATGCCAGCTCCAGCACAAGGAAACAATTAATTCAGCTCATATTTTGCTCCAATCATGTCTGATTTTGAACAACTTACAAACTTGAGCAGTTTGGAATTTTCTTTCTTCACAGGAAGTCCCCTAGATTAATTGAGGCTTCTCCCAAGTAGACAAACAGGTTACTCTCCCTTCTTTATGCTATTTTTTTCAAAAGCTATATTCATAACTATTCATAACTGTGTGTCACCTACACTACAATAATGACACTCTTAATTTTGGTTTTCTTATTAGCATATTCTAAGAAATGCCTTATTAAGGACAATACACGCAATAAAATACTTATGTTGAGCAGCCAACATAGCAGCTTTGATTAGAGAAGTAGGATTCTTTTTCTCTTGAAAGCTTTTCACATCCAGTATTGTGTGACTATATATAATCATCAAAGCACTGCAGTGCAAAGACAGTTTGCATAACCTTGTATAAATTCAAGAACTTTTAGTTCAAATTTGGCCTAAAAAAAGATGTGATAAACATCAGCATTCTTTCCAACAGATTGTCCTACACATAATTGCTTATGTGCCAGCAAATTGTAACACCTAGCCAAACCTGATTATTGTTGAAAGCAATGGTAGTCCAGAGTTTGCATTTAGATGGGGGATAACCTGGGAAATCCTGAACTGTTGACTAACTTGGGGAGTGGGAAAAAATGCTTGAAGAAGTCAAACTGATTCTGCCAAAAAAACTGCATAGACTGGCTCTCCAGAAGTGAGTTTGAATTAAGGACATCTTTATACTCACTCAGTCTTCCAAAGATAAAAAATTACGACTGTAATAAGTATTCAAAATGTGTAGAAACAAAACTCAGTTGTAGTATATAAGTGAGAAACATATCAAAACATCACACCCTGGTTCTTTGGTCCAAAACAAAGTCCAAATCTCAGACATTATTTGGATCTCATGGATTAGTATCTTACTTGCTCTCTAAGAAGTACTCAAGTGACACATGACATCCAAAAGCAGAAATAAGGAGGGGAATGAACATGTTTTTAAATTCTCCATTTCCCATGTAACATGTTCATAATTTAAATGAAATATTGTGGCGGTCCGTGACTGTAATAAAGATTGAAATTGAATATGAAATATCCATTTTTTTCTCCCGTGTCACAACTCCATTCACACACAGATGAGGGGAAACAGGCAATTAAGTGGCACTGATAAAGTGGCAACAGCACAGATATCCATGTGGGAGTAGACAGGAATGTAGCTGAAAGGATCCAGCAGCAGGTTTCAGCCAATGATTAAAAACAACCACAAGAAGGCAGAAGCTGCAGAGAGAAAAATACTTACTGCCTTTTCATTAGAGGCTTCCTTTAGGCAAGAACTCCTATCTGCCTAGATACTTTGGGGTATTGCAGGGATGTAGCCATGATCTGATTTTACATTCCTTCTGACAAGTATCTGGTCCTTCTTTCAGGCAAGTGACAAATGCTCTTCTCTATAGAGAAATAGGCATAATAAAGGAAGTTTGGCTGTCAAAAGGGATTTAACTTCAGTTTTTTCCTAAGTTTATGATGAATTTCAGTCACTTTCGAAAGACCTTAAGACCTCCACTTTTCACAAACTGATGCTAGGGGCACATGCGCATTGAACATCTATGACCCTGATCCTCAGACAAACGGTAGATACGTTACGTCTAACCCTGGTATTCAAAAGAACTCCATACAATTAATCTTTTATGCACACTAGACAGATGCCAGTCAGTATAAGGGACACAATTTCTTGATGGTAACACAGCTGTCTTTGTTTCTGGCTAAGTAAAGTTTGGTGGTGTGCAATTCAATAAGAACACTTTGCAATTATATTTAAGGATCTCTCTCTCTCTTGCTCTCTCATTTTTGCACAAACCATACTCATTGTTGCTGCTTTTGTACCTTTGTCCACTGCAGCTTGACTACTACTCTCTGCCAAAGTAACTTCATTCTCTTTTATCCTTTGTTCTGTTTGCTATCATTTGGTCACTGCTACCCTATCTTACTTACAGCCTTCAAGCTTTCGCCTCTTTAGCAATTTTACAAATATAACAGTAAAAGAATGGGAAATATCCCAGAAGCAATAATTCTTCTCAGCAGCTAACATCAATCCACACAAATACGTTTTCTATCCCTCTATCTTTCAGTCTATCTGTCTATGACAAAATACAGAGTTAATCACAATGCAATCATCAAGGCTTTGCATAACAAACTCATTTACTGGGGGAAAGCCAGGTTTTCAGAACCTTGTGGAAGGCTATTTCCACCAAGTCTTTTAAAGTTGATTATCTGGAAACTGAGTCATACTTGACTGGCTCCCTTTAACTGCTAGAAGGTAAAGCTGTACATGTGGTGATCCATTAAGAACGCTATCAATGCATCTTCTGATATAGCTTCAGGAATTAAAAGCTGTTTGGCAGGTCTGTGGTTTAAATTTAATCTCTGCATTAAAAAATTATCACACTGAAGTTACCAATCTTGAACCAGCAATTTTTCCAGTTGAGATTTTTCTATACACTAATAGGCATTAATAAACCAGATACAGATACGAGCTACCTGCCACTTATATACCATACAACAGATAGCCAAGTATGAAAAGACCCTAGACAAGCATTTAAATCAAATGGTTAACTATAGCTATGCATTTAAACAACAGTAGTGCAATATATACAACAAGGTGTAATTAATGATCCCTCACACCTGGTAGAGCTTTGCATCTCTCTCTTTCATAATGGATACTGGGGGAATCTATCATTGGGCAATTTTTTTCCTTAAGAAGTAGATGATAGCAGTGGCAAGAAGTAGGAAAAGGCAACAGCCTTGCGTGGTGGTTTTTAGTCCTACATCTTTAAATAAAATTCATCCCAGCCATTCCTGGCAACATCTGTTGTTTCAAGCAATCAAACTGTAACATCTGCAGGTTGCTCACTGCTTTGTTTTGAAGAAAATGTAATTTTAACCAATATCATACTTAAAATAAAGGAAGGCATGCTTTTCCAGAAGGTCTATACCAAATTAAGAGGTTACCTATATGAAATTCAAAGCCTGCTCTAGGTTCACCCATATCCAGCTGAACTGGTCTCAGTTTAACAACTGATTCTCAAGGCTGTTTCCCTGCCTCTGAAAACTTAAAAACAGGTGTGACATGGCTTTGTCTCTAAACTATGGTGAGATAGATAATTAAAAGAACCCCTACCAGAGTGGCCCACACTCTTTCTGCTGTTCCTTCTCCTCCACCAGGACATTTCTTCCCTCCCTTTCAGAGTTTGGTTTGCACAAACTTTTGTTTGCATTTATTTTTTTCCCTTAAGCAAGCTCACTGGAATCTATCTAAACCAATAGTTAAATCTTAAACTAAAAAGAAATCAGATGTTGAGCACATGAAGGAATTTTTAAAATTGGTTAGGAGATTAATAGTAACTTTATATAGTAATTGTGGAATTGTAATTATCATGGCTTTGTCTCTTTTATTACAATTTTTATGTGTTGAATCAGCGTTCCTTAAAACATTTTTCTCTCAGGACTCACCCCACATTTAAAAATGACAGAGGACCTCAAAATAGCTTTTGTTTAAATAGATTATATTTACCAATATTTACTATATTAAAAATTAAAATTAACATTGGCTGCTATTACTGCCTCCCACAATAGTTTGACAGGATTTTAATATTGTATTATTTTTCAACATAGGCTGCCAAATCTAATCTTCACCAGTTTCAGGGGTATGTGTAAACAATTCTGAACTTGCATTACTATTTCCTATACTATTCTATCAACTTTGAAACATTTAAGAATGGTTCTCTCAAGATAAAGCAATCTGCATTCCAAAATAACTTAGTCTCTAAGCTAGAATTATAAATCAGGTGACCACCTTGAAAATAGTTATGTAGCTAGCGTATTCCATTCAAATTCTTTGGATTACTATACTTGCATTCATCTAAAATGAAAGAAAAATATATGAATAAGGTCAACTAAACATACTACCTGTATAAAATATAATGCTTCATCTCTTCTATTGTTTGTAGACATTTCAAAATAATTCCCCCAAAGTGTAACTTTTCTGTTAAATGTGCTTATTTGACTTGAATAATTTCTACAAACGTTGATAGAGCTAGTTCTTTGCTTACCAACTGCCTTGTTTAGAAACTATTCAAAGCTGCAACAGTATAAAAAGAGCTTTGCAATCACATTTGCAAGAACCATTACAATGTCCCATAGTCACACACAGTTGATGTGCTTCACAACTGGCTTGCAACAAGCACAGTTAATTGTGAAGACAGAAACAAAATTGTTCGTCAAGGTTACCTGATGTTTTCCTTAGCAACCATTGCATTTAGCAACAGAGTAGCTGTTTCCAATTGCTAACCTAGAACTGCCTGTATAGAAGATACTGAAATCATTGTGCTTGAACTCTCCCTATTTAGTGACACGAAAAGTTGTTAGATAAAGAGACAAACTTTTGGGGACAATATCTTAACAAAAAACTTCAAAAGGAGGGGAAAAAGGTGACAACTTTTAAAAGAAACATTTTCTCACCAAATTTGACAACATTAAAAGAAACAAATAAAAACAAATGTGCTCAATCCTTTAATAATTGATTTATCAAGAGAAATAAAATGCATTTAAATTATGTGGAGGGCTACCTACTATATCTTTATTGGCTTCACTATTCCATTTCACTCTGCACTAGAATAGTAGCTGCAACTAATGACTTTACTTAGTATGATTTTATTGTTAAAAAGCAATGATATACATAGCACTTAGATATCTAGAATATTTAGAATATCTTGCCAAACAAGATGCTTTATTTAAAACAATAAGTCAATGTAAATGGAGGTGAGGTTTACTCTGAAAGCAAGTATGCTTATAAATTCTAAACAGAAATCTTTCAAACTATCGGAATGTAATGTTCCTTCAATTTTAATTCAGAAAAAGATGGCTACCACAGTGATCTTGATGTTTGGGAAACACTTCATTCTGCTGCATGGAAGCCATACCTTCATCAGCAAAATCACTAAAGGTACAGCCACAGGTATGCCTGCCTTCCCAAAAAGTATCACAACAATGTGATAATAAGGTTTGATTTGGGGCTATGTGCAGGGGTGGGATACGAAAGGGTTAACTGCTGGTTAAGGATTTACTAGCTTCCCTGCCAGCTGTGAGCCTATAAATCATCATAAATCATCATAAGCACGCTGCCTGCCCGAGAAGCAGCCTTTGAAACAGCCCTCTTTTCTTGTTTTTTTAACTGCAGCTGTGATGTTCAGCAGCTGAAGTTGAAAAATCAGGAAATAAAGCGGTTTGTCGGCTTCGCGAGCGGCAGGGATTTGCGAAGCTGCGCGATCCCTGCCGCGCTAGCCGTTTTTGGGGCTCCGACCCACACGGGTACGGAGCTAGGCTGCCCTGCAGGGGCAGCTGAAGGTAGGGGGGATCCGGAGAAGGGACTGGGGGTGTTGCAGACCCCCTCCCTGGCCGGCAGAACCCCCTTTTCCCAGGAGGGTGCAGCGGCGGTCCGTAATGGCCGCCACAAAGAAGCTGGCAGCCGGGTAAGAATGCGCAGGAGGAAGTGGAGAAAGTGATTGAGAGGAGAAAGTTTTTCTTGGCTCCTAGGACTCTAAGACATATTTAATAAAATTCCTGAAAAGTATGACTTTCTGAATAATACCTGCCAGAAGAGGAAAAAAGCGGCTGTTTGAAGGTGCTGAAAGGATAGCTTTCCCTCTTTTCCTACGGAATAAATAACTGGATATTAAGAAACCTATTTTTTAGGTGGAAATTGGTTTTAAGCGATGAGTGGGAAGAGAGAGGATTAAAAAGAAAATATTTGTATGCTAAGACTGTGTTGGAGCAGATGCCTTAAGGATTTGAAGACTAGAATATATTGTAATCAGATTTTAAACAGATTTGGACTTTCTTTCTCTTTGATTGATATTACCCCAGAAGGAGAAAGTGAGAACTCTGCCTTGGTTTGGACTGATTGATAACTTTGGGACTGTTTTATCTTTTTTATTTTCTTTTGAATATTCTGGTTGTTGTAAGAAGAAAGAAGGAGAAAAGAAAAGAAAAGATTTATAATGGCTCTTTCTGTTGAGGAACTAAGAAAAGAATATGAACAAGCAAAAAAAAATGGTAAAGATGGTGTGGAAGAAGCTTTCCTTTTCTTAGAAATGGCGCTTACTAATTATCAACAAACATTACAACAGATGAAGACAGCAGAGGAACAAGAAAGAAAGGAAGGAGCCATCTTTAATGAATCTCAGAATTTGATCCAGAAAGAAGGAAGAGAGAAAGAAAAGAAAAGAAGAGAAAAGAAGAAAACTAAAGGACTTAAGGACTTAAGATCTAAAAAAACATTTAAGAAAGGGAAAAATAAAGTGCAAAACCAATATGATGATAGTAAACAAAGGGGAAAAGGAATACGACAGAGAAGGGAAGCCGGTAAGGCAGAGGCTAGAAGAAGGGGGGG